GAAAATGAAATTTCCTAAGTTTCTTCGGGTCTCCTGAAGGTGGTGGAATTTTTTCCACTGAAACATGTAGAGTTTTAATCAGATATTTCACTTTTAACTTTATACAACAGATTATTGTGCATTTTTAAACACTGAAATTCTCACTCACTCACTTTATAAAATCTGTGCACAAGAATGGTCATAAAATACATAGAAGAACAGATTTTATGGCTAGCTAACTTCAAGTTGCAAAGAATGTAACATCTTCTATTATGAAAGTAAAGAAGAAATTTGTATGTCTACCTAGCTTTTAAACTGCAAAGAATGTGACATTCTCTTTTATCAAAGTAAAGAACAGATTTGTACATCTACACTGCAAACAATGTGACACTTTCTATTATGAAACTATATTATACATTGAATATGTTAACTTAAAAATTAACAATATCAATGTGTTTTAGTTTTGGCCACCAATTACAGCAAATCTTACTATTCAATCATCCCTGTACCTTACAAATTTGAAACTACAATTATTTTCATTATTTCATACATTTTGAATAAAACTAAATTTAGTAGTGAACATTAAAACAATTCAACTCACTAAACAGATCACAGTGTTAGCGTTAAATTACCCTGTTGTTTGATACTTCTGTTACAAATATATAAAATTATATTGAACTTTTCTACCATAATCTAGCTAAAAACTTTTTTAATCAATTAAATCTTAATTCTAAAGCATTTTTCTCTTTTGTTTTTTAATTTCGGGAATATTCTTACTTAAAACTATAATTTTGAAACTCACTTTTATATACAGTGATAAACTTAAGTTTTTGTAACAAAGTCTTTACTATTTTAAAAAACCTCCTAAGTACTAAGTTATGTTAGTTTTATGCATTTGACGTATGAAATGAAAATGTTACTTTTATGTGTAATGATACTGAACCTATGCTTTAAAGCTAATAACTGATGCATGTACATACAGACTGGTTATGTTCTATCAGTAATGATATTGTCTTATATATACATCTATATATTCATACTTGATACTTAAAAAATACTAATAATCAAAACCACAGATAAAACCAAATTAGTGAAACTAGATTATTCATGTTTTATGTTTATGGTAAAACACAATTACCAATCATGGTTATGCCAAATTATTAGTATAGATATATGTATCAAACCTCTAATCAAAATATTTTTTCTATGAGAGTTGAAACTAACTCTTAATTAGAAGCAGTAATTAATGTAAGGTGTAAGAAGTTTCTTAAAAAAAATAGTGCTGTTAACAATTAACCTTTCAGTTCTGATAAATTACTAAGTGTAGTTTAAGAAAAGAGGGTTTTCAAATTACAAATTCTTCCTGACAAGTAATGTAATTCAAAATCATAAACCCCATAGCTTTTTAATGGGCTACATGTTCCCACTGCTGGGATTAAGAGAATAAGGGCACACTTTTCAAGCTCTTCTATTTACAGGATGGTTTTAGTGACCTTATTTGAACCATATAAGTGCATTGATCACAGCTACAACACGGCAGGTATATTTAATACATTTTCAATCTGATTTATAATGTATTCTGATTTGTAGGATGAAAAAAGTAGAAAACTTTAGATTTTATCATCCTATTTTACAAACATCTCATACGTTTTATCACTGACTGGCATGAGCCTAGTTTTACATACAGCCTTACAAGAGCGTACCTAATGTTTCAATATTTGATTGTTAAAAACTGTAATCAATGTATTATCAAAATGAGAAACATTCAAAATGACAAAGTGTATCACTGAACTCATATTTACTACTTTGATTACTAAACTGAGTCTCATCACCATTTTGACATATAACCAACTTAATACAATAAAGCAAAGTTACTTGATTAATGAATGCTAGGCTTAGTTAATCACAGCTTTTTGCATGACATACACAAATTGGACAAGCCCCAAGAGTGAAAAGATTGCCATTTTTGCTTTGAATTAAGAATGCTGATAAAAAATCATTCAGTGTTGATGATTATCCTAAACTTGACTAATATAATGTATGAGAACCAGTTTACCCATAAATATGTAAAAACTGAAAGACCCGATGAAAAAATACAGAGCTTTAATGCCATGAAAACTTCAACAAAATACTATGTATTGTATGATTGATACTGCTCATTTTGTTAATGAACAGATTAGGAAAGAGCTTCAGTGTTTTGTTACATTCTGTGGCATGAGGCTAAATATTATTTAATATAGAAAAAATTAACGTTATATCTGCTAAAGATATTGATGTGGGCTCATAATCTGGGTGATACACTCACTTAAGTATATAAATACATAAAGTGAGGTTTTTCCTTTACATCAACCTTTAATATTAAGAAAACAAAATACTTTGAAATACTAAGTGTATACTGTATGACAGATAATAAAATATTGATACTGCTTTTGTTGTTAATAAACAAATCAGAAAAAAAAAATCTTAAGACCTAATATGTAAGTTTAACCTAGGCATTTTGTGGACTAATAAGTGTGCATATTGTTTTTGGTGAACTATTTCTGTTTGTCTATACCCACACATAGTAAGGATTTTTATTAAAAATGTATATATGCACAGAACAAAGATAAGCTTAGTGTTTCTTTAGTTTGTGGAAAAATAACAAAATTAAGCCATCACTGGTAACTTTGAACATCATAAACTACTTGAATAATAATATATATATATATATATATACACCAGTGGTTTCCAAACTGTGTTGTGGCAAGTTGGTAGAGGTGATTTAAGAGTTTCGACAAAATAATAATAGTAAAGAACATTTAAAAAAAAAAAAACTCGGAAAAACAACAACAAATATCGCATGTGTCAGCAGGGATGTTGCACAAATAAAAACAACTGGGTTAGGGTGTCGTCAATGAAAAACATTTGGAAAACACTGATATACACTATATTAGCTCAATTTAAAAAAGTATAAATTTCCAAGTGAAAAGTAGTTGGTAAGTGGGTTGTAAGCTGTTGATAGTTCTTATACTTATTTGACATCTGAAAAGCTTATACTTTCTGGTTTTGTTTAAGATTTTCCATCAAAATAAACTTGGAATACTAAATAATAATATTCCAATGGTATATATATGTATATACTTAATAAGTTTGCATTTTGTGGTTTTCTTACAGGTGGAAACTTTACATTATATTTCTACTGAAGAATCATATATGTTATTATTCAGTTTATTACCTAAGTGTTCCAATTTGTATAAAAGATACTTTGCAAAGTTATAGTGAAACCTCCTACATACAGGGTATGTACTGGTTTGGCCACATGTTCAGTTTCTACATCAAATAAACTAAACTGAATGTTTGATTAACACTTTTAAGCATCTACTTCCCTTAATACTATGTTCAATAGACTAAAATACCTGAATGTGATATAAAAAAATACACAGAATGCTACAACTGTGTTAGATTAACAACAGCAGAAAAAACAACAAGATGATTTCAGCCAAATACAATTACATTTTTTTTTTAACTTTAAATACTTCTCATTCAGCAAAGAGCTAAATAGTTTCTCCTATATTTTTAAATCAAGTTTCAGCTTTTCAGGGCAAGAATTTCTTATTATTTTAAACCACCAGAATTTTTTATTTTAATATAGTTGGAAGTAAATACTGTTTAAAATGCACACTGGGAAATCTGCAAAGATCAGTCATACTTGTCTAACAAATAAATAATGAGAAAAAGCATAAAATAACTTGATGAAAAAATATTCCTTTTAAAAAACTGAAAACAATTTTGAAAAATATCTTAGTCCCCCACTGAAGTGCATCAATGAATTTTTACTAACTTCCAGTGTTTCAATAATATTGTAATAAATGCAATAAATATCCTTGTACCTCTCATAATTTGTGATTTTCAACATTGGAGTTCAGTCTACCAATTTGTAATACAAAATATTTGAATTCTTGAAACATAAAGGGTTTTTACAAACTAATTACAGAAGCAAGAATAAAAGGTACTAACTGTAAAGAACAGTAATAGTAAAATTTAAAAAAAAAGCTTTTTGACAATTTCTGATAATGCTCCTTTTGAACAGTTGAGAGACTCCATGATTCCTAACATATCACTGAAGTTAAGGTATTACATACATGAAACAAATCTGGTGATTTTGCATCACATTAGCAATTCACACTACAGTGTAGCATGTTATATTACACGTAAATAAACAGGTTTAATGGTTAAATATTTAACATGCATGGAATGGCAGATGAGAAAGATAAAAAAAATCAACAAAAGAAGTACAGTCTGTAAGGAAATAAACACTGTAATAACTTTTACATAAACTTTAAATGGTCTATAATATAAGCAAGACTTTAGTCTCCAATGAATAAAATATATAGAATCTGCATGATATATAACAAAGTACATGTATATGTATTACTACATACTAAATAATTCTTGCAACTTGCAACTGTTTGTCAAAACAATGCCATTCTGATTTTCAATTCAGAACAAGTGGATATTCCCTCTCTTAAAACTCATTTTAAAATTCACGGGTCTTTTCAGAACTTCATCCATTCAAAAACAAATTTGAAACATCTTACTTGAAATACTTTTCTTTTGCATACTGATTTATCATTCAATAACAATACTCTTATTAAAAAAATTCTCAAACAAATATAAAATTGTAAAAATCTCTTAAAACCTTGTCCAGATTTATTTCCATTTTTAACCATCACCTTTTGTAATTAACCATTAGGTTTGTACTTAAACCACTCTCTAAAAAACGATCTAACAGTTCCATTGTATGTGCAAAACTCAACATTGATTAGTGTTCCAAATATAGTTTCTAGTAAAGATGATTTTCAAAGTCTAAAAATCATTAAGTGTTTTCAATCATGAAATGGGATGTCACTTCAAAAGGTGCTTAAGAACAAAATTTAAGGGCATTCAGTATGCTTTACTCAGTCAAGTTTCATTGAGCAAACCTCTAAATGGGAATAACCCATCCACACTTCATGCATTATTAAACTACCAAAATGTGATAATTATGTATTCAAACTGTTAACATGTGTTTTGCTATGAGCATTTAAGTTACCTCTATTAGCAAATCCTTTTCCACATGTCTCACAAGTAAAGGGTTTTTCACCGGTATGAACACTCATGTGTCTTTTCACTGTAGACTTCTGTGAGAAGCACTTACCACATATTTCACAAGCAAATGGCTTTTCCCCTGTGTGGGTACGCATGTGTATTTTTGTACGTTCCTTATCAGCAAAGCGTTTTCCACATACCTCGCAAGGAAAAGGACGTTCACCAGTGTGAGAACGCATATGCCTTGTAAGTGAGGTTTTTTGAGAGAAATGATGACCACAAAGATTGCAGGTGAAAGGTTTTTCTCCAGAATGTGAGCGCATATGTAACTGATAAACATTTTTTGATGCTAGTTTTTTTCCACACAAGTTACACTGGAAGGGTTTTGCTGGATCACCAGAAAGAAGTGGTCCTGATACTAACTGACTTGATACACTGTGGGACTGGGCAGAATGCAAGCTACAAGGTTTACCAGCTTTGCAAAGTTGACAGCACTTTTTGTCTACAATTTCTACTTTTCTTCCAGAAATGGCTCCAATCAAAGAAGTAGATGCCATCCCAATAGCACTTGTTGAATTGGTTTTTGAAGTTGCAGTGGCAGTGCGACTATAGCACGCTGTAATCTGGTTAGAAGGCACAGTGGTGGCTTGTGTTATAGAAGGAGAGGAATGTTCTACTCGGGCACTGGTGCTAATCACTGCAAGTGGTATTGTTGGCAAACCAGACAGTTCATGAAGTTTAGAGGTATTTTGTAAAACTGGAGACTCAGGTGCTGAAAGGCTTTCTGAAGGAGAAGTTTCAGCATTACCAGATGGTTCTTCCTTCACAGAAACCTCTCCAAGGTGGAAGTTAACTTGTTCTGAATCAAATCCAGCAAGAGCTCGTTTTGATACAGAGGACAAACCTGAAACAACAGTAAATGGTGGCAAAGGTCCAGAACCAGTAGTACTTCCAGTAGGAGCTTCCTGTTTGAGAATAGAAATTAAACTTGGTAAGGTTGGAAAGCTCGAGTAATGTGGACTGCTAGCTGAAGTAATCGTTGGAGAAGAAGTTGCTTCTTGAGGTTCCTGTTTCACAGAAGTTCCAGAAAGTGAGGTAGGAAGGATCCCAGACAACAAAAATGGTGATACATATGGTAAATGTGAACTTGTTAGACCAGGCTGCATTCCATGAATCAGTGGAACACTAGTAGTGGTCGTGGAATTTGAAGAAGCTGTCTTAGTCAGTGTCAAAGGGCATGAAGAAGCAGTAGAAGAAACAAGGCTAGACAAGAGGTAAGAAGACTGTGACGCTAGACTAGAAAGTATAGATGGCAAAGCAGATGTGGATATACCATGCATTGGGGAGGCTATTGTTATACTGGGAGCATCAGATATATCATCAGTTTCATCATCTTCAGACTCACTCTTACCAAGTACTCCTGAAAAATCTCGCCCTTCAATCACAGACCCATATTTTGGAGAAGAAGCGGAGATACTGACATTTTCCTCTTGCGAAAGCAATGATGGAGGGCGATGTTCTTGAATTTCATCAGATGCTGAAATAGGGGTGGAATGACTTGGCCCAACTGCAGTGATAACACCAGTGGGAACACCTAATATTGGCCTACAGAATGCTAATCTGGTTGAGGAAGATGACATATTCATTTGGCCAACTTCTCTTCCAGCAGTCTGTGATGACATGCGAGAACTAACCATACTCAAAGTGGTGGTCCCCAAATCTAATGGTGTTAACAAAGGATTGGTTGAGGGAAGAACAATTGGATGACCATCATCATCAAACAGCAAAGGCCCTCGATGATCCATTCGTGGAAACCTGTTGACAGAAGATGGTACATGCAGACCATGATCTTTACTGCTTGTTATTAAAACATTTCCACTATGTATTTTAGAAAAATCAGGTAGTGACATGATGACTGGTGCTGAATGTGAAGGAACTCGAGATGTAGCTGCTGATTCTACAACATCTGCTTCAGAAAATGAAGTGGACAAAGACTGAAGTGAATCAACTGAGTCACCAAAATAGTGCCCTCCAGTGTCATTCTTGTTAGCCACCAGTGAAATAGGGTTCATAATAACATCTGCTTCAGATCTACTAACAGTTGAAAGACAGAGTGCTTCTGCATGATGAGGATCATGGGTATGTGACAGGTCAATACTGGAAGATTCAAGAGAAGGTGGCTTGTAACCTTTCTTCACTAAGGAAGCAAATCGTGGTTGTATTATTGTTGAGACAGGGGGTAATCTCTGCAATTTAGAACTACCAGAATATGTTGATGATGGTTCTTCAATGACTTCAGGTGCTTCCTGTGAGCCATGAGATTGAAAGTTGCTGAGGTTTGACGTATCTTGTGTAAGAAGTTGATTATGTCTACTTATTACTCTGTTGGAGGAAAGAATAATATGTGAATCGGAAAGCTGCAAAGAAGCAGTGTTACTTAGGTCTTTTTCATGTCTACTGTGTGATACAGTATTATTAGAAGATACTGTAAGTGACAGAGGGATTTTTCTCTCAACATCAGTATGATTTAACAATCTCTCCTTTGCTGGGGTATTATGAGAAACATGTGATAAGTCACTTGGCTCTACATCCTTCTGTAAAAAAAAAGCAGAATTTGGTGAGTTACAGGGCTTTTCTATGCCATATCCACTGATGTCACTAACTTGAGGTTCTACTATAGAAGAGCTACATCTATAGGAAGATAGTACAGTTCTTCTTTCCACAGATATTTTTGGGCTAGGCTTATCTGCTATAAAACTAGTTTCAGAACTTATCAGATGAACTTTGGCCGAAGATGTCTGTTCATGTTCATGATGTGAGTCTAAGATCATATCACCTTGTTCACTCGAAGTGCTCTGTGACAAATCCTGGTTGGCATCAGATACATCATCACATGAGCTTTGTGGGGTAAATAAAGGAGCTGATGTTGCCAAGGCTCCATCATTCACAATGAAAACACTTTTACCAGAATTGGTGGTCACTACAGGAGAATGGGCATCATCCATCATCATTGCATTTACATTTCATTTATTATTATCAACCCAAGTGTTGGAAAAGTTGTACTATGTTCTAGAAGTCCATTTCCTTCCTAAAAAATTACAATAAAAGTACAAACTTTTAACTAAAACTGATGTCAAATATACAAATAAAATAATGATGTTTGTAATAAATCACAAATAAGTAATACTATCATAATGCAGAAATTTCATATTTTATAATACATGCACTCTGCAACTTTTACACAATGGTTTGACTAATGTAACAGCAATTTTTTCCATAAACAGTCTTTATTAAACATATTCATTTAAACATTTCATTGCTCAATGTACACAATTTTTTAAAACTTTTTTGAATGATAAATTTTCACAATAAAAATATTCTGATAGAATTAATTTAAAGAAATTATTTGTATTTTTAAAAGTTTGAAAAAATTACTGATAATAGTTGTTGTAACATGTGGATTGTAATATGAAACAAATATGTGTTGTTCATATTAAATAAAATGATGCCAGGTCAAACTGAGAAGTGTAGTTTTGAGCTAAAGGGATAAAAACAAATCCCAAAAACCTTCACATGCATACCTGAGAATTGTACAAGCAAAAACTGTTCTCAGTTACCAGGTTTTTATGCAAATGTAACATAGAAACTGTTCTTCTGGACTTTTTATTATTAACAATGATGTTTAAAGAAATTCTAACTATTATTCCTAATATTTTATAGCACAGCTGCGAACTGTAATATTCAGGTAAACTGATATTCAAGAGATAAGTTTAAAAGTATCTGCAAAATGCAGATTCAAGAAATGTACTGCGGAGAATAATTTTGAGCCCAGATAGTGTGCTATATATTTTACCTACTGGCCAGCTTACAATTTTCTGCAGTCTCTTACTGGCTATTCGGGTGAAAGGGTTTTCTAATCATATCCATACAGGACAAAGACAAAAGGAATTCTGATTTACTGCTGAAATTCAGACAAAACATTAAAATGCAGCCTCTAATAATTCAATATTGTATGCTTCACCAACTACTGCAAATAACATTTATATGGGATGAAAACTTCTAGTTCATACCAATTTGTATACAAGCCTCTGTGCCATCCCTTGATGTAGCTGTAAAAGAAAGTGGGAAAGAAACTGTAGGGTCCTTGAAATCTGGGATGAAAATGCATTGAAGTCTGAATGATTTCACCCACAACCTTAAACACGAATGTGGCTGCATCCAAAAGTAAAACATTTGGAACATATGAAAAATGCAGATAAAGTTGGAAATACATATTTTTTTAGTATCATATTTACATTTCATAAGAGTTAACCTCAACTGCTGAAAGACAGTTGTCATAATTGCATCACAACAGGTATTAGTCAGAAGTATAGAGATTAACTACTTATTGAAAATGTACTTAAGATTTCTTCAGTCAATTTTGTACACAGGTGCAAAAAATAAGATACTGTAGGCAGCTAAAAGAGTACATGCATACTTCCAGGTTTAGTAAACCAACTAGACTGTTGCAATAAATTTTAAAATACACTAACAGTATACAGTTTATGCTTCTTATCTATACCACCTTTAATTTTAGAAAAGAAAACCTTTAA